TTGTAACCCTGATCACACTGACACTTACGGAATGTATCTTGCCATTTTCACAGTCGAATCCGTGTTCCTTTTTTATTTTTATTTTTTGAGTTTCTGGAATTTGACAAGCTGGCCACGGGGCTGAGATGCCCTCACTGAGGGCACACTCACACTAACACTTCCGAGAATGTATACAGCTGCAATCACGCCCAAAGCTTTGTTTCGTTTTCTTGTTTTGTGATTTTCACGGCCGCAACTTTTTTTTTTTTTTTCTTCCCGTGAGAGTACCATAAAGAAATGGAGTGGGACCCACGCTCGGCAAAACTCGGAGCGCAGTGAAAATCAGGGTCGGCAAAAGCAGGCTCGGAGGTACTGCTGGTTTAAGTAAATTATTAAATTTGATAAATAAACCTTAATAAAATAAAAAAATTATAAAAAAGGGTTGTGGAGGTGTCGGGGATTATGACTTAAGGAGGATGTCCGACAGAGGGCTTCCCGCGCCGGGGTCAACCCTACTGGCGGTGCAGCGGGCCCACCCACTTTTTACCCAGTGATCGCTCAAGGGAGAAGCACACAATCCTCGCAACCCACCCGGGAGTATTGGCTCAGACCGGCGCTGCCAGGCCGCTAGCGACTGGGGTCCCCCCTCCCCCACTCAAGGCTTCACCTTCCTGTAGCTCCACCGTTGGGAGGTAGTCTGCACCACAGTCACAGTGCTGCCGCAGGGACGCGCCAGCTCCTGCTAGGGGAGGGGTGACCCCCTCACACAACCGCACGCTCCAACTAAGCCTGCCCCTCCTAGACCCCTTCCCCCCTCATGGCCTCGACAACCCCAACGGGAGGCACGCGCTCAACCGTTACGGGGACCTAGGAATTACGGTTGAAAATAATTTTGCAAGAAAAAAAAAAAAAATTGTATAATTAAAGAATACTTTAAGTTTGCAAAAATAAAATTGAATAAAGTTTAAATGGCATTTAAACATTTACTGACAATATTTAAATAATTCATGAAATTTGATCAGGAGATTTCAGAATCAGTTCGAGGTAATGAGGTAAGTATCAGATGAATGGTAGCTTGGAAGATACACAATTTGCTCCAAAGATTCAGGCTTTGGTCGGAAAAAGATGCAATTGGCAAAAAGTGCGAGTTTCGTGAGGTTGCAGTCTGGAATGTGGTCGTGCTCATTACTACTCGTTAGGTCAAAATTTAGGTTAGTCCTAACCCTAATCTGCGCTAATTAGGGTTAATCGCGTTTTCACGAATTACCCCGATTACGCAAAATTGAAGATGGTCGAAACCTGAAAAATTGAAGATAGGTCAAAACCGACGTGATCAGCAAAAAAAATAAGAAAACTATTTTTTTTTGCAACTTGCGAATAATGATAATAGAGTACAGGTGGAAGACAATCAATCAATCAATCAACAACCATTTCGTCAATACGGACATATTATATTTTTGAACGTAATTGAAATTGAGTTTTTGGGCCAAAATCCGCTCCAAATTTTTGGCCTAGATGCATCTCGTCTCAGCTTGAGGTCAGATACATCTAGAGGGTCCGACGTTCTAGGAACCCCCTGAGCCAAAACTTTGAACCGGATTTCGGCCCAAAAACTTAATTTCAATTCGTTAAAAGAATATAATATGTCCGTTTTGATGAAATAGTTGTTCATCAATCTATCAATTGGTTGATCAAGCGCTAGTTGAGCAGCTTGATCCATCAATCGATCGATTGATGATGAGTCATCCAATGTTGTTCTGCTCCGATACCAAACCGTTGCATACTCGTCGATACAGACATAAGTATGACACAGATCCCTAGAACCAACCAGATAGTATAGAGTCAATACAATTACAGCGGAATACTTGATACACATGGATTGACCCAAACCTGACTCAGACTGCAACGAATCCCTTACAAACATGCATCGGTGTTGTGAAAGCCCTGACCCTGAACATGGACGAAGGGGCCAGGGGCTGATCTCATACACAGATGCATGGAGGGGAGGAGAGACGAACGGAGGAGGAGAGGGAAGATGACGTCAACTCAATGTCTCCAAAAACAGTATCTCGCAATTACATAAGTAGCGAAAATCCGAAATGTCATGAATACAGAGTCTCACAGTGTCCCAAATATCGATCTTCAAACGCCGAGATACACCGCTAGAGGTAGATGAAGTAAGATCCCAAAGTAGTCCTCAACCGAAAGTCTCAATGTTGTTATTTCCAATGTCATCAGAACTCATAACCATCCCTCCTACTCGTTGTAGTCCAGTAGGAGTAACCCAGGAAGTAGACTTAGACAGAGAGGGCAGGAGGAGAAAGAGAGCGAAGGAGGAGAGAGGGAAAAGGGGAGAAAGGCTTGGAAGAAACGCGAAGCCTTTCAACCTGATACCTGAGTATCGCGCTGTCCCTGCTGAGGCCGAGTCTGGCGATGCAGCTATGCCGCTGCCGTGCTGGGCGCTGGCTGCGGCGGAGCCAGAGGGCTGGCGCTAATCGCGGCTGCGCTAATCCTCCTCGCTGCTCTGCTGTGCCAATGAGAAACACTGTTACAGTACTAACCTAACCTTTACTGAGGCTAGTACCCAGCTGATATAGAGTTGGGTCGGCCTCAAAGCTGCTGGTACCTTCGGGTCTGGACCGTTGATCAGCCCCAACGGTTCAGATCTAGCTGCGAACCTGAAAGTGGCGCCTAAACTTGGCTCACTTCAAAACTGCGCCACCGGTAGGTCCTAGTGTTGGACTGGTACCGGCCTGACCCTTGTGACCGTTGGCCTACTCGGCCTTTGGTCCGACCTATGGGTCTGAACCATCTTGACCCCTGACCCTAGGCCTAAACTAGCCTAACTACGGAACTCGGCCCTAACTGGGGCCCGTGTGGTGTCAAAATGCCTCTCTCTCTCTCTCTCTTGGTTTTTTTTTTTTTTTTTTTTTTTTTTTGAAGGCTAATT